TATTATTTTAATTATAATTGAAGTTTATCTTTAATTCTTCTTCTGACTTCATTTCAATACTGATGTTATTTTATCTTTTTCTCACCTACACAGTTTTGATGATACAAATACAGAAAGATTGAGAATTGCTGCAAGGAATTCAGACCTAGAAGATATATTTTACTTTGATCCTACAGTTATCAATTGGGCAGACTACTTTTTCAATATCCACATTCCTGCTCTAGTTAAGTATGTCATAAAATGATTATAATTCCTAGACTCAAAAATTTAATTTTTTTTTTTACAAGATGTAACGGTGGGGATCGAATTCACAACTTAYTTAGTTTGAAATATATGTTAATTTCTGTTGAGTTATATATGCTCACTTTGGCACCAAAAACTTTAATCTAATTATTGGTCAAAATATAAATTTAACATTTTATATAAACATATTCTCAAAATAATTTGATCAAATAAAATCACCAGATTGATGCATATTTCCATCAAAGATCGATATGCGTCAATAAAAAGAATCCGAAACAAAAAAGCAATCCCGAATGAACAAAAGTGCACTTTGTTAAGGATTTTATATCCATAAGATTAAGAATTTAAGAGTTAATAATAGACATGGACTACTGATCCTCCCATCGCTAATTGATTTTGAGATGGAACTTCGTAATATTGATACACCTACCATTTACCTGTTATTTTACAAAATAATTTGTCAAAATTGGTCAAAGCAACAGGCTTGATTTTACTCACACCCCACTTGCTACGCTATAGTAATCTAATTATTATTAAATTGGAAAATGGTGGTCACGTGSTTTACGTAAATACTAACATAAGTTTAGTTCAGTGATAATTGGTATTTATTTATGACCAAGAAGAGGCCACGAGTTTAAACTTCCACTCCTCAGGAAAAAAAAAAGAAAAAATGTCATTGGGATAAATAACAAAACTATATAGATATGTAAACCGTCTTCTTATCATTGTCTATTCTTCAAGGCCAAGTATGCCAAGTTTCAATTATATGAAACTATATTATATTCCTTGAAAGTATATATAAAGGGGCATTATAGTGACTACATTTCAAGAAACATATAAAGTGTGTATTGTTGTGTTAAAATTGTGACAGAAAAATATGAGGTTAAAAATAAAATTAAGAGACCAATTAAATAGTAATTTTTTAAAATTATAGGGATTAAAAACAAATATTTTTAAAGTTGAAGGACTAAAATAAATCGAAGTCAAAAATTATGAATCAAAATCAACATTTCCTTATAATAAATTTTCCAAATTAAATTTCACCTAAAATAACTCTCTCAACAAAAACGTGAGAATTATTTTTATAAACATCCCATAGGCATAAAAACTTAATATCTTAGACCCATTGCTTTTGCTATTTCATCTATCTTAATCAAAGTTAGTCGTCATTGATTTGGAAATTATTGAATACTTCCAATGCTATACATAGACCAAAAATTTTCAATAATCCACTACCAAAAATATATGGTTATCACTGATCTATGGCTACTTGAAGAAAAAGGTAAGAGTAGGGTGTTACCTGCGTAGGGTATTGACTTTTTAGTTAGAAAGTAGATTGGGCAATTGAAATGAAGTTTATTTTGAGATGAGAAATAAATAGAAAAGAGCACTCTATAATTCCATAATATGCATTATTTTTAATTAGGGCAATTAATTAATTCAAATTATGTGTCTTTACTTTACCTTCTTGGCTTCTTCTTCATAATTCTTATATAATAATGCAAATTCAACTTCTGATTTTAACTGACCCATCTTGAGAATTATCTAATTTTGCTCTTTCTTGGCTAATTTCAATGGAGTTTCTCAAGAACAAGAACATTTTTGTCATGGGTGCCTCAGGCTTTCTGGGAAAGAGTATGTAATTATATATAAGTATTAATTTGTTTTGTTTTTTAAATTTATACCACTAATATTATCTAACGTTAGAGTGCAGTTATGGTAGAAAAAATATTAAGGGATCAACCAGACGTGAAGAAGCTTTATCTACTTTTACGAAGTGTTATGAAAATATGGCAGCAAAACGTTTCTASGACGAGGTACGACAACCCAATCTAGCAAAGATACATAATTTTTGTTTCAAAAAAAATTATTAAAAAGATTTATGACGTGTAGTATTTAATATGCAGGTCGTGGAGAGAGATCTGTTTAGTGTGTTAAAGGACAAATGGAATGAAAATTTGAACGCCTTCATTTCAGAGAAGATTTGTTTCGTGCCTGGTGATGTCTCGCTCCCGAATTTAGGGCTGAAAGATCCTAATTTATTGAAAGAGATGAAGGAGAAAGTGGAAATAATAGTTAATTTAGCTGCAACAGTCAATTTTGATGAAAGGTGCACAAATTCATGCATTTTCAGTAACAACAAATTAGAATAAAAAGTTCAAAGAAATTACCTTCCTCTTTATTGACATTGAATTTGTTTTTTTTTTTTTGTGCAGATATGATGTGGCATTTGGCACTCATACATTGGGAGCTAAAAATGTATTAAGTTTTGCAAAGCAATGTTCTAATTTGGAGATTGTTGTCCATGTATCCACTGGTTAGTAATTACTATATAAAATATTCACTAATTGAACCACTTACAAATGAAACAATACATATGTTTATAAAACGCTACCGTTTTATTTATGTCTTTAACTTAGAGTTATGTTCAAGTTGGTAGTGCAAATATGACTTAATCGCTAACTTAATCAACACTAACGGTATGATTTCTTTTTAAAATTTTAACTTTGAATAATGGACAAACATTCGAGACAAATAAAATTTAATTATTGATGACTTGATCGCGGTATGATATTTTTTAAAATAAAGAATTGAAAAATGTGTATTCTCTGGTAGCTTATGTTTCAGGTGGAAGGGAAGGAATTATATTGGAAACCCCATATGAGATTGGTGAATCGCTTAATGATACTGCTGGACTCAATATTGAGACAGAACAAAAATTGGTGGAGAAAACAATAGATGAACTAAAAACCAATGGATCTACAGAAGCAACTATAACTCTAACCATGAAGCACTTAGGCCTCGAAAGGTATTGAAAATTAGATGGCCAAGTCTTAATCAATTTAATAATATTTTTCAATAGTGATATGAAAAAGACAATAATTTTACTCAATTTCTTGTTTATTATAAGGGCTATGATGTACGGATGGCCAAATACGTATGTATTTACAAAGGCAATGGGAGAGATGGTGCCGTGATAATAAGTACTTATAAACAACTTTTTCCTGGTTGGGTCGAAGATATGAAGTATGTAATTTAACAATATTTTTKAATGTGGATTACCCAAAAAAATGAAATGTTCCAAATTATTGAAATTAACAGTTTTCTCGTCTTCCTTAAATTAAGGGGTGCGGACACTATTATGGTTTGGTTACCTTAAAGGAAAACTAACCATTCTTCCGGTTGATATCAATTCAACCGTTGATTTAGTGAGTTCATATAATGATATAGTCAAGTCATTTGAGTTCGAAAAATACACATGTTTTGATTAAGTAAATAAATTATGGAATATACTTGAAAAATACAGATTCCGGCCGATATGGTGGTAAATGCAATGATTATGGCAATGATGACTCATGCACGTGAACCATGTCGTGTGATATAGGCTCTTCAACAAGAAATGGTATGACATGTGGGGATTTTTTGCATTTCATGTGGCAATACTTTGTTGAGAAGCCATGGATGAATCCAGATGGAAACGCCATCAAAGTTGGGAAGATGACTGTCTTCAACAGCATGGTCAAGTTTCAAAGATACACTGCCACTCGCTACTCCTTGCTTTTGAAGGTATATCATAGGCACTTTCCAAGTATCCAAAACCACTTGCAAACATTAACAAATCTAAACATTTTATTGGGATAACTACATCGACTCTAATTCTAAAATAATTTACACATTTGTCAACTTAGAGGATGAAGTCACATGAAAATTACCAAGCTACCTATGTTCATATATTTTTAATAAATAAATTACAAATATGAAAAGAAAAACCAATTTTAAGCCACCTCTGTTTATGATTTTTACACCTGAAACCCTAATCCCCTCTCTCTTTCTCTTCTCGCACTTTATAAAAATAGAAAAATATATGCCTATCGTACTATTAAAAATAAAACTCCAAAAAATATACATACATGTCGGAAAATTCAAACAAGAACGGCTGAAAAATTAAGAAATAATAAATTTAGAAATATAAAATCTTTAATCAAATATACATGGAAAGTATCAATAAAAATAAGCATAATAGATATGAAATGGTGGAATAAAAAAAATCCTGAAAATCTAAAAGTAAAATTTTCATTTCACATTTGTGAAAAATAGGTCATGACACAACCTTTAAAGACAATTTCTCAATTTTATTTTGGGGGTATGGGTATAATTGAATGCAGTGATAAGACAAATTATAAGAATGGAAAAATATATTATTCTCTTTGACCAAAAAAAAAAAAAAAATTGTATGCTTGAATTGATATCCGTTTTGTCGTTTGTACCATTGGCAAGGGCTTGGAATTTGCAAATGCCATATTTTGGGGTTCTTTTCAAGATACATGCAATAAGCACAGGAAGAAGTTCGATTCTATGATGAAACTCATGGAACTCTACCGTCCGTATCTGTTCTTCAAAGCCACGTATGTTACCATCTCTTGTTATAAACCACATTATATTTATTTAGGTGTGCTTTAGTATTGTTCGTTTCTCTTATTTTAGTTCTTTTTATTTCTACATCTAAATCTAAGTTTAGATGATTCATTTCAGATATCTTTCAGTTACTTATCTTCCTTTTTTCTTCTTCATACAGTTTTGACGATACAAATACAGAAAGATTGAGAATCACAGCAAGGAATTCATTTCAAACATTATACTTTGATCCTCGAGTAGTCGATTGGGCAGACTACTTTTACAATGTTCACATCCCTGCCGTGGTTAAATATGTCGTCACATGATTATAATCCCTATAACCCATACTTTAAACTTATATGTTAGAATAAATTTACTCTTTCCAATATATTCTCAATGTACCAAATATTAAGTAATGTTTCATATCAGTCAAATAATAAGAACACAATTGCTAGGTCATGCACGCCTATATTCATCCCCACAGTCCCCAATAATTCTAAGAAGATTCTTACCTTTTCTGGAAACTTCCTCTATGCTGTTTACGTCCTCCTCATCAAGAGCAAGAGAAAAGATGGCATTTGTGTCTTTCAAATGCTCCGACAGCCCAAGTCGAACGCCAATCATCGACCCTGCCACAGCTGGCTGCAATCTCAGAAGGAAAACTCAGTCACATTGATATTCCAAAAATGTATACTCAAATATAGGAAGTTCCTAAGATTTATGTGAATGCAATCTTCCTTAGAAAAAAAGCAACTTTACCTGATCTAGAATGTATTTAACAGCAACAGTTGGAATCGAGACCCCGTGCTTTGAAGCAACTCTCTTAAGTGTCTGTAGCAGAACTTGAAACAAACTCCATCCTCCCCATGCATCAACCATCTGCCGTGTATGATAAGGTTAAACAACATATCCAAAAAACTGGAGGCAGATACTATGGGTCTAAAATCATATTAGAATCCTTATGCAATTTATTTTATTTCTGAATCCCATAGTAAAGACAAATAGCTTGATCCAGGATCAATATTGTTGAGGTAAAAGAATTCGTCATACCCTTTTGTACTTTTGCAGAGAGGGAGTATTTAACGGAGGGCCAGCAAAAGGAATGGTTAAGTTGGTGTCAAGGAATTTTTCAGATAACAAGCCACCCATTACAGTTCCATACCTACATGAGAAACCATATTTCAGGGAAAACATTGCAAGTGTGAGCAGAAAATTCAAATAAAAGCTATTGACCAAACAAAACCGCCAACTTCGATGACATCATGATTCAGGATAATTGATAAAACGAAATAGAGAGGGAAAGAGAAATACGTTATAAGTTTAACTCCTGTGAGCTTACAAAGCTCAGCCATCTTTTGTTGAGGCCTCATATCAACAATCGAGTGTTGAACCTGATAAATTTCCATCAAAGATACGCGTCAATAACAAACAAAAAAAGCAATGAACAACGCAAGAGATGCACCTAACATTTACCTGATTACTCACGACAGGGATATCATTTTCCAGAATAATTTGTAACCTTTCCGTGTCAAAATTTGTCAGAGCAACAGTCTTGATTTTACCTACACACCACTTGCTAAAGTAATCTAATTAAATAAATAAATAAAAAGGTGATCCGACGACTAAAGTCGAAGAGCTCAGATAAATAATACTAACCCTCTTCTTTCAAATCAGTGAGGTGTTTTAGAGCATCAAGATAGCCAGGGTTTGAATAATCCCACCTATTCCAAAAACATAGTTGAAAAATATTTAGATGCATGGACGACACTCACCATGTAGTTAGAAAAAAATGACAGAAAGTAAAGGGTGTTTTACATTGCAAAAAGCAAGATGTATAATAAGTAAAAAATGCATTGGAAGTTGGAACTGCTCCCCGGAACTGCCTAAATGAGTTCTCTGGTCAAAGATTAAATTCATTGACCATCATTGTTCATTAAAAATAAAGTTCCATTTTTTTTATCCGTGAGTGTCCAAGCCAACTTATGCACACCTAGGATAATCTCACGAGCCAGCCGCCTGACCCTACAACATTTGGTGCCTAGAAACACATAGAAATTAATTCCTAAAGTAGCTGGCCATCATGGAATTTGAACTCATTTTATCCTAGTCCCTATGGACCAATGAGCCACCCATGATGATTAGTTCCATGTCTTTTTATTTCCAAATCTCATCCCACAAGTCCAAGATAGCAAGAGAATCATCCTGCCTGGTTTTTTGCTTACACAAATGAATGAGAGTCCATTGTGAAAAATGTGAACCATGGGTACCAGAAAGTAAAAAAATAATTTTCTGCTAACTTGCGAACCAAAAGGTAACTCACCAAAGATTCAAAATTTATGTTTTACTGTATCAAATATGATAACCATCACACGTCAGATTAACATTGTGTAAATTTGTTCGCATGCAATCCTGTGTGTACACAAGAGAGATATTAATTGTCTAATACCAGTGAAATTGAAGCATATCCAAAGAAGACACGTCCATTCTCTTTCGTGAGATATTAATGCTCTCCCGAACGTAGCTACTAGTCATCTTCACCGGCGGCGGCACCCATTTTGTAAGCCTGCATATGCAATATAGGATAAAAATATGAATTTCCAATTCCCATTTCTATAAACCCCTCAGATATTGCATATCAAAAGAAAGGCACGATAAGTTTCTTCTCTGTACGCAAGTCTAATTGCAAATGCTCATGTTCTTCCAATAAACATGGATCTCAAAAAATATTTGATCCAACATCCTACAATGAGGTGGTAGCTGAGCTCACCCTCTTACACTCTCTAGGAGTTCAGGCGGTCGCTCTCTACGAACTCGATTGATGAAGATGCCATACAAATCTTCAGCAGGTCCATCTACGAAAATGGAGGGGTACTCGATTTTTAAGGTGTCAAATCAAACCCACTAGATGATTAACATCTCTTCATTCCACATAACAGGCATAGTTAAATAGACTTATACCATACGGGATTTAATGAACAGTAAACCTCATGAAACTCCAAATTTAACAACTTCAGATTCTTCCTTGTAAGAAGAAGGAAATTGCAGTACAACCAGTGATAATTCAATGTGATAGGTAAAAATTAAAACTAACTAATGCGACTGGTAAACTGCATACATATATCAGCCATATCAAAAGTGTCAAATCCAGAATCAGCATATTTAAGCATTGCATCAACCGCATTATCTCTATCAATTCGACCCCATCCCCCGCTTGTTTGCCACATTCCATTTACAACTCGGCACACATCTAATGCATCCTCGCCGTTCTTAACCACCGTCCGTTGTTTATTTTCAGTGAGCACACATCGAATTAATCCTGAATTCAATTTCAGTGAATTGCATTCTCTTCTAGGGTTTACAAACGCTAAATTAAAAGCGAATCCACTAGGAGAACAAGGCAAAAACTTTGCCATTTTGACTGTGTGAACCTAAATCAACCAAAGAAGGAGGAGGCCACTTCACGTGTCTTTGATTTGCATATTTTTGAAGTCCACACACCATTCGCTGATTTATCCTTACTAAGGAACAAAAAAAAGTAATCAACAAAAACAGACTCCTTCGAAACTACATCCACCACGAAGGAGAAAGGATAAAATAGAATCAAGCAAGGACAAGGAATTCCAAAAAATGTGTGACATGCAAACAGGCTACGTGGCTGCGTTAAAGCTGTTTATGGATCGAATCGAAACGCACAGACTAAGAGTACCAGTGGTCCACAAAGAACACCAGGCCAAACAAGATGATAATGTTGACAGAATAATTTTTAATTTCGAATATATGTGAAATTTTTGTTTCCTAAAGCGACGCAATACCAATACGTACAGTGGTCGGCCATATCGAAGGTTGAAAGTCCGGCGTCGGCATATCGGAGCATTGCCTCCACCGCGCCGTCACGGTCGATTCTCCCCCATCCGCCGCTCGTCTGCCACATTCCGTTGAGTACTCGGCAGATGAGTAAGGAATCCTTGCCGTTTGTCACCGTAACACTTTGGGCGGACGCGGATCCCTCCAATGTCTGGGAGCATCTGACCACCGAGTTAGTTCCGAGTTTTCTCTTCTCACGGCGGGTTCTGGCCTCCGCCGTGAAGGATTTGAAGGCGGTGAGATTGAAGAAGCTCCGTTGAGTAATCGCTGCCATGGCTGTCGGATTACCAGAGAAGCGGAGAGAAACTGGCAAGTGGCTGAGGATTTTTGGCGCACTTTCCCGATTTTCCCTTTTTTCTTTTTTCTTTTTTTATTTTATTTCACTCCATGTCCATGCGTCTGATGAAAATACAATCTTATCCATACGTATATGCCATCCCAGCCCCTCATAGAGGGGCAGGTTCGTCATTTTGACTTTAGTTCATCAGCAAGCCCAGGGCATCACTTTTGTTAATGCATAAATTTAGTTACTATATTTTTTTTCGAGAAAAGTTTAGTTACTATTTAATCTTACCATTTTAAAAAGAATAATTATAATATCATTCAACTTCAAATTATATTCCTATTTAGTGTCTATAACTAATATCGTTGACGAAATCCACACGTATTTGTTGAATTAAATGCAAAATAATTAAACTGATACTAACGAAGTACACACGTGATATTAATCGTTGAAATAAATGCAAAATGATTAAGTCGTSCCAACATAACAGTTACTCGTTAAATTAAATGTGAAATGATAAAATCGACCCAAACGAAATACACGTTTGACATTACTCATCGAATTAAATGTGAAATAATTAATCAGTCTCAAAAATTTTAATGTAATCAAATCATAACCACTTTAAGATTTCGAATGGATAGCATTTAGTTCAACTTCATTCACTTTTCCAAATTTTTACAAATAAAAATATGAACACCAATTTTTTTCCTTTTCTTTTTTTTTGCAAAGTAAAAAGGAAAAAAAAAAAACCAATGACTCCTCAATACCACTCTCAACATCTTGACTAAGCAAAACATGAGATCTAAATTGAATCAAAACCAAACAAAATCCATCTACTTTTGGTTGTTCACGAGTCTCATAATCCTCTGTTCCATCTGCAATAACCAAAAACATTAAGTAAAGTTTTAACATAAATATTAACTAGGAATGATTAATTGATATTACTGCTTAACCTGAAGAACTGGCTGAAGCTTGTTTCGAGTAATCGCGAATTCATGCTGCATCCAACTAAGAGCTTGGGAGACACTGAACCATATAGTTTATGGAACAAAGTTGAGCATCTTTATTAATATATAAATTTAAATACTATTTTGATTCATGACTTTTCGACTTTAGTTCATTTTGGTCAACTTTTGTTTATTTCAGTTCCTATACTTTCAAAACGTCGGTTTTTGTCCTTCTAGTTTTAACCCTTTTGACTATTTCATTTTCATTTTATTTCATTTTTTCCGTTAAATAAATTTCTTTAAATATAGTCATAAATTTGTATTAAAGAATTTCTATAGTATCTAACCTAAGAAGGTTAGTAATCTATGGCTTTTTGTTTCACTCACATTTTCTGGTCCTCTTGGTCACAAGCCTCAATGAGATGGATGGATGCTAGCCTCACATGTCGTGCGCCAATCCTGCCACGTGCACATTCATATTCTTAAGTAACACAAATCCATGAGATCATAGACAAATTCTTAGATTCACAAATATGATCAAAAGCACTAGAGTAATTTGAGAAAGATTATAAATGGATAAAATTCAAATGAAAAAGAGTAACAACCAACATATTCAAAATTCCAAGTAACTGAAAACTACCGTGTGCTTTTCTCCTCTATGTTGTGAGCCAATATGCTCAACTTAGAGAAATTGACGTTGATAGAATCCCTGCATATTTAAAACTATTAGTCTACAATGAAAAAGATAAACACATATGTGAAGTTTAAAGAGTAGAGAACCTTTACATGTAGTTGGTAAGTTCACATAAGTTGGATTCGACGTCATTTAGATATATGTTGATCAAATGAATAACACGATCAGACTCTTCAAATTTTATTAGAATCTGCGAGAATCTCTCGTCAACGATCTTCTACAAGACACGACACGAGTAAGTCATTTGAAGATGTTGCAATGGTCTTCAAATATACGAAACGAAACGAAACCAAGAAACTAGTTACCTCGTCAAACAATGACTGCACATAATCTTGGAGCAATCCCTTAAGAATAGACAGAGCCATTTTAGATGCAAAGTGGTAGGAAAAGAGAAACTGATTAAATACTAAAACAGAGGATAAGAAGCGAAGAAAACGTTATAGTTTTCATGCGGGGGAAAGCAAGACAAGAGGGAGATGAGGACAATGTGAAGCACAGACTACCTTCAGAATAGCATGATCCATCATGAATTTGACATCAAGATTCTCCAAAATTAACGTTTATGCCACTGGAAATGAATGGTGAATCAAATAATTGGTGTACACGTAACAGATTTGCATCGACGTGGGTATTGACAGGCAAAACATGTCATGAAAAGTGAATCAAAGAGAGGGCTGGAATAATAAATAGTTCATGTCCCTTACATTAGAAGAAATGATCACTAAACAACATGAAACTATAAGTTAACTTGGATTCACTTGGCAAAGCTGCATCAGAAATTTGGAAGTATTGGAAAGAAGAACTTAGCTAGAATTGGCTCTGTTCGAGAGAAGCAATTTCTGCATGTTCCACTCTTCCAGCCCCAAACCCTAAAAAAACATAGCAATTTTAAGAGCCACAAAGAAGAGGACGCTGTTTGGCATTTAATTAATTCAACAAACCACGTTGTTTCTCCAGTCTCCATGAATCCCCTCTCTGCTGCAACCTCTCAAATCGCGATTGCACCAAATTTGATCCGTTACGAAATTCACTTCCTCCGCCGCTGATTCTTTTCGAGTTCTGTGATCGCTTAATTCCCGATTTCTTCCGTTCATTCTTGATGCAATTCCGATTTTCGATGCGATTATCTCAAAGTAAGAACATATATTGGGTATCAGCATATTGAGGGTACAAAGTTCGAATCACCACATCTGTCGAATTAGGCGATCCAATTCCAATTTCGATGCGTAGCGCTTGCAAAGGCCGAAGCCTGAAAGTAATCACCCGAACAATTCCAAATGTATGGCTCCACTCGCCATCACCGGTCGCGATCAAATTACGAACTCATCCAAACCAGTAATTTCGCAGAGATCATCAATGCCCTTGAGAAATAACATTACGAAATTATTGGCCACTGGATCTTGATTCGAAGCCACGTTAAATTTTAATCGATACTTCTATGTATCAATAGATTCTACGTCAAATGGGTAAATTAATATTTTGATAGTACTAACGAGAAAATTGATGAAATATAACAAAATATCAACAAAATATCGTCAATATAAACATAATATTAATACTAATTTTTTTAATTATCGAAAAACTTATTTATATTTTACATTTTTTAGTTTTTTAATATTTTCATAAATATTACGGACATAGACATTTTGTCGATATTGTCAATCAATATTCCTTTAAAATTGAGTTATCAAAGTTTCCATCACCGTGAATATTTAAAACTTTGATTCCAATAGACAAAAACAAGTTGGATGGAAATCTTTATATCTCAATATAATATTGATAGGAAAGAACACAAGATGTCAACTAAAAAATTAATAGCCTGATTTTGAAAAATTATAACAAATATTTAAATTAATAAACAAATATCTTACTCATTTTAAATAGTTAAAATTTATCAATATTAATATTATATCTATATTTGGTAAATTTTTTATGTAGTACTATAAAAATATCGATTCGATATTCAGGTCGATATTAAATCTATAATAACCTGACGGAAATTTAATAACGTGATTAGAAGCAACAATATAGATGTCATTGCAAATCCCAAGCGGGTAAGGTTGAGAAAGAAACAGTCCCTTACCTCTTCAACATGCAGTGAAGGCACGATTGCTCCTAGTGTTGATAGTAAGCTTCAAGGGATATATAGAGAGAAGGGGTGGATTGGGGGGAGATGGTGGTTTGGTCGGGTGAGAGGTTGTCGACTAGGTCTAAGCAACCTAGATTGTGTAGGGAGCTCCAAAGCCTAGTGTGTAACTGAAACTTCAGAGAGGAGGGCGTGGAATAAGGATTATTACATCAAACTTCAAAGAACGTGATTATCCTCTTTTTTTTTTCATTGATCTACAAAAAATATTATGTACAACTTTAAGATTTATACAGACCTAAATAACTTTGGAAGATCACGTAGAAACGCTTCCTAGTTCCTATACAGTGTCATGAACCATAATTGGAAATCTTCAGCGCCTGCCAGTTAAAACTCTTATGTTCTTCATTGCTTGAGCAGTTCAAGAATGGTTGAGCAGAAGCAGAAGCAGCAGTGTCAGTATTTGGTTTGGAAAATTTCGTTAGATGACTAATTTAGCAACTTATGGAACTTGTATCATCTATGATCCACGAGGTGAACTCTTGTAATAGTTGAAACTTTTGACGAGTGGCAACGTTGAGGAAAATCTGCATTTTGCTGAAAAATTCTTTTGCGTCCTCTTTGCATTTGAATGAGCCAGCACAAGCACATTGCTCCGACAAATGAGCCGCTTTGACCTGCTTGCAGCGAACGCATACCAGATCCAGTACGTGATAGAGTCGCTCCCTCTGCCGCACAATTTGAAGCAGTGCATTCTCCATCATTTCTTGGTTGTATGGTTGCCCGCATTGTGGCACAGCGCAGTGCCATTCCGGTGCTTGTAAAGCCGAGTCGCGGCACAAGTCCAAATCTTGACAGTCGTCACAATAGCTGCCCTCAGAACCAATAGAAAGGGTGAGAAAAAAAAGTAGAAACAGATTCATAGACGTTACAGAGAGTTAAAAGTAGAAGATTTTGCCAATTTATATTGATATTTCTGCTGCAGCACAAATAACTACGGAGCAGACAAGTCATTAGCATACCTGCAAATAACGTTGGGTAAGATTAAGGAGGGACAGGGATCAGAAAACTCAGCTTCTGGTGCAAACTCTCTGACACGCACATACTTGAGTAAATTCTTCCTCATTACCTATACAAAAATGTTAACAAGACCATTATTTACACTAAATAGAATGCTGCGAGGGAAGCCAAAGTGAAGGGAAAAGTTCAAGAATTAAACTATTTAGCTAACTAAAACTCGAGAGAAACCAAGAGGGAAAAAACACACTTTTTGCAGTCCATTTTTTTTTTCTTCCCATCAATTACTGGAGAGTTTAATCTAAGTTTGTTCCTTGAAACGTTCAGGATAGTGACAAAAAGAACATTGAGGGAAGATGGAAGCTAAAAACCTCCATGGTCTCAGATGAGGATGGTAACTAGTACTGTAAAGGTTATAAAAGGAAGCAAACGAATCTCAACTTGGTAAATACTTCAATAGTTATTTCACATGGAAACTTTCTTTTATCCTTGACTTGACCTTAGTAATAATCTTGTCAAAGTAAAAATTTAGAATAATGAGCTACAAAATTAAAATGATGACTGGATTAAGATGGTGATACCAGAACATCATGCTGGACATTTTGATCAAGCGCCAAAACTGCACAGACGTGCTTAATAAATTCCAATGCAGCATCTCCTTTGTGGATACTACCAGAAGGTTGTTCTGGTAAAACATCCTGGGTGTTCTTGTCCTTCCCTTTCATATGAAGAACAATATCACGAACAATCCCCAATAGTTTGTCGCTGAAGTAAGAGCTTAGCTGAGGATCAAGATGAACATAGTAAATACATAATCAAGAAACTTAGAGAAAGAAATAAAGAGAAAAATGGTTCAAAGTACTTGCAGCAGATAAGCATTAATACCTGCTCTTTGAGATGTTCTGTTACGCGTGATTCAAATGATTCGGCAGCTCCCACAGTAACGGATGGGGTACATTTGTCACCGTGCTGCAACGATGCTCTTGCTGCAGCTTGCTTGGTTGCATAATTCCATGGAATATATAAAAATTGAGAGATTATAAAAACAAAGTGATCCTGCAATGACCAGAAGAAGACTTGACCAATTAAAGCATTTTACCTGAAGAAATTAACTGTCAGATTTTACTATACTGTCTTCAGCTGAAAAGAAAAACTTGCTATTAACAGTGCACAGGAATTCTTTGGCTTATCAATCCCAAGCAAGTAAGGCTCAAGCAGTAAGGTTACCTGAATCTTCTTGGGCAGATATTCAGCAATGTTCCAGTTGGCCACTATATCAACTTGAGATTCAATATCTGTGAATTCCTCATCTCTTGCTGGGATTCCACCAAAGTTGAACTAAAATAGAAGAGACACAAAACATGGAAATATAAATCCGAGTAGTACAACAGAACTTGGGGAAAACAAAAGAAAGCTTAAATTGCTTAACTATTATAATAATCAAAAGATAAAAGAACAAAATGCTCATATATTGATTATTGAGTTTTATTCTCAATATTTGATAATCTAGAATAGTCGTCAACTGGAGCAATATAAATTAAGTTTCTTTCATAAAAAGCTCAGGATCTTGTGAGCTGTCTTGTACGTCAGTTTAAGGAAATGGTTAGAAGGTGTAAGGGAAAAAATGCTCAAGTGAGGGCCGTCATGCGTGGGACCCTTAACATTTCTAAATCGATAAACGGCCACCCAAGTTCAAGCCAAACTAAAGAATAATGCAGATATTTTGGACTTCCACAGATGATTCAAAATACCAGGAAATTAATTTTGGCAGACGCATTTGCAAAAGGCTGTGAAGTATAGGCAGAACTTCTGTTACATTTGTTAACAGTGAGAGGTTCCAACCACCACCAAAATAAATAATAATAATAATAATAAAAGAGAAAAAAAAGACAGACAAACAAACAAACAAAAGAAGACAGCCGAATGGAGAGGGATGACCCAAGACAAGAACAAAGTGAAGCATGAACACTGAGATATGACGTCATCAAACCTGATCCAAAAACAACAGTGAGTGCCAAAACTGTAATGGTTCCAGCTCAATCCACTCAAACAGATCCCTACGAAGAAGGAAAAATAATAAGAAAAAACAAAATACAAACTGAGAATGTTTTTATTAAAGATGAACTCTCTTCAAGAGCAGGAGGACAACCTTGTTTGCAGTGTTTTCAGCAAGCTATCACAGTATGCCTTAGCAGCAGAGAGATCAAACCTTCCCGTGTCTATAATAATTCTTGAGAAGTTCGCAAATATAATGGTGGCACCTAATTTGCGTAGTTCGGCCAACAAAAGAGCAAACACCTTTTGCATAACCTAACAAAAAGTTTAAAAGAGTAAGTCGGGCCACTGAAACAGCAGGAATTATAAATACAAAGTATTTAATTAGAAACAGTAAATAACTACAGCAAGGCATTATTTGCAGTGGAGTTTGTTTTGTTTTTTATTCCACAGATGCAGTGGAGGGTTGTCCTGCAGTATCTTTTATTAAAAAATATATTTGAATTAACTTGGAGTTTGTTTAGCTTCTAAGAACATTTATGCATACCTTGTGAAGCAAGCGATGAAGAGCTGGGTCATGAAGTCTTGATTGGGGACTGCAATGCAAAAGCAAACAATGAATGAACATAGTCAACTAGCCAAGTTTGACTTGAAATAGAGTCAGAGTGAACAAGCAGAAACCTGCAAATCCATCGGTACAGATGCCGCAAAATTGCATCGGCATATACATTTCCAGATGTAACTGCATCTGCAAGACACCTTTGTATCAATTGTTTCAGGACACGAAATGCTGGAGCACATGACGCAGCCTCATCAAAGCCACCTTCTTCATTAGAAAGTTGTGCCCCACATTGCATATCACGTTCAAAGCCAAACAAGCCACCTCCTTCCATTTCATTCACTTGGCTGCTCTTCAGCAGAGCGTTGACAGCCAAATGATGGATCTGCATGGGTTGGGATAAAAATACTTAAATATCACTCAAATTTTATTATGGAAAGTATGTGTCAGTACTCAACCTTCAGCTCCACAGAAACTTTTCTATATGCTCCAGGGTATATCAGTAAAGGTTGTTGGACCTGTTACGAAGAAACCAATGGGAAACTCATCAAACGACACTGAAAAAATAAGGAGTATAGCAAACATGTATATGGAACTATTTGAAAAAATAGAAGCCAAAAATACAAATGTTCAATTTGTTTGTGGCTAGATGGAAGAAGGTCAAGACTTATCAAAATGTTAAAAAGAAAAAAGTTATTTAACTACTACTAACTATACTATTATTGAAAAATAATAATAAGATAAAATTCTAAGTACCACTTGTAACAAA